GTTTTGTTCGCCGGTCGCCGGCGTATGAAATAGAAATAAAGCTAATTGAGTTCGCGGCACCGACGAAATTTTCGTCGGTGCCGTGATTGTGTGCACTTCCATATACACATATGTGTTTTATTTTTGACGACGAACATACGCCGCGAAAAAATTCGTCGTTCGCTCCAATTGTGTTCCTAGCATAATGTGGTGGGGAGGAATATAAACCTTGAATTCATTTATTTGATGTCTTCTATTGTCTTTTAATATGCATTAGAATAATTTAAATACACTTTCTTTGCATTATTGCAATTTTATTAAACACTTTCTTGTAATAATAGGACAATTTAAACGCGACAAATGATTCTTTTGTTGAGCTATTAATCCGCGACAGCACTTTTTGACACCAATTGTTAGACTAATTTTGGCAAATGCATTGATTGATTGCAACTAAGACTGAGAAATGAGAGTTCAGTTGTAGGAGAGACCAAGAGGGCACTCTCTTTGGTATTGAGGGGTTTTTGCTTGCAATTGGGGATCATCTGAGAAAATATGTTAATTTAACTATTTTTCGATGGATAAACTATTTAATTGTTTATTTTATATTAAATAATTTTATTCAAAATATTGTTAAATTTTCTCGGGAGTGTTAAGAGCGGAAGAGAACCATCCTTGTACAATTTGTATGCCCCCCTTACTCCCATAGATGAGACAGCATAATTTCATCTTGTTTATTTCTTTGTCCATCATATTCTCACATGAACTGCTTGAACGGAACATGCACACAAACACACGTATGTATGGTGCCAATTAACATGGTAGGGAGAAATATTGACCTTGAATTTATTTATTTGTTGTCTCCTTTTGTTTGGAAAATAGGTATTAAAAAGAACCTTCTTGCGTTATTGCAATTTTATAAATCACATTTGTAATAAGCACATGAAGAATTTAATCGCGACAAATGATTCTTTCGTTCAGTTATTAATTTGCGACCGCACATTTTGATACCAATTGTTAGACTAATTTTGACAAATGACAAATGCACCGATTGATTGCAATTATGATTGAGAAAATGAGAGTTCAAGTGTTGGAGAGACGAAGTGGACACTCTCTTTGGTTTTGAGGGGTTTTTGCATTGCAATTGGGGATCATCGGAGAAAATATGTAAATTTAACTATTTTTTATTTAAATTATTATTTAATATTATTTAATATATTAAATACTTTTATTTACAATATTGTTATTTGCACACGAGTTTGTAAGATGATAAGGAGGGGAAGAGAGACATTCTCTAGCAAATTGTACGCTCCCCTTACTCCAATAGATGAGACAGAATCATGTTGATGTTCATTTCTTTGTTCGTCATATTCTCACATGAACTCCTCTTTTATTGGCGTAACACACACACACGTATGTACCACTTACTATGGTTGGGGAAATGCATATTGACCTTGAATTTGTTTGCTTTTTGTCTTTAAATATGTATTAGAATGATTTACATCGACTTTCTTCGCATTGATGCAATTTTATTAAACACTTTTTTTTGCAAACACATGCATGCAATTAAAACAATGTATTCTTTTGTCCAGTTATTAATCCACGACCGCACTTTTTGACAACAATTGTTTGACTAATTTTGGAATATGGCAAATACTCCGATTGATTGCAATTATGATTGAGATAATGAGAGGTCGACTGGTAGAGAGAAGAAGTGGACATTATCTTTTGTGTTAAAAGGTTTTTACATTGCAATTAGGGATCAGTAGAGGGAATGTGTAAATTTTTTGGAAGATTAAGAATTTTTGTCTTTTTATAATTTCACTTTGGACTATCTTATTATACCCTACACCACATAGTGGTAAGGGTATTATGTCTTTGTGCATTTGTTTGTAACATGGAGAAGGAAACGAGATAGACCCATAGTTACTTTTGAGAACCTTCATATAATCACTTTCTGAGTCGATTTATGCATGTCAGTCCGTCTGTCCGTCCGTCCGTCTGTCCATGTATTCTTGTGAACAAAATGCAGGTCGCATTTATTATCCGATTGAGATGAAATTTTCCAAACAATATTTTTTTGGCCCAAGGATGAACCCTATTGAAATTGGTGAGAATCGGATCAAATCTCCCATATCTCCCATATATATCTTCATCCGATTACGGGTTAAATGTGCACCAAATGTCCACTATCAGTCCAAATTACCCGAATTTTGGCGCACCCAACCGAGATCGGCCTAGAAGCAAGTATATCAAATTTGGAGAAAATCGGTTCAGATATAGCTATAGCTCCCATATATATCTTTCATCCGATTTAATCTTTAAGTCCCTCACATTCCTACTATGCACTCCACAACCGTGATATTTGGTATCAGGTATTAGATGGAGCACAGAAATAGCTGTTTTAAATTTTATCGAAATCGGATCAGATTTGGATATAGCTCCCATATATATCTTCATCCGATTTCGGGTTAATTGACCACCAAATGGCCAATATCAGCCCAAATGGCCCGAATTTTGGCATATGTGACCGAGATTAGCCTTAAAGCAAATACAACAAATTTGGAGAAAATCGGTTCAGAAACAGCTATAGCTCCCATATATATGTTTTATCCGATTTGGTGTTTAAGCCTCTCACATTCGTAATATGCACTTCACAAGAATGATATTTGGTACCAGATATAAGAAATAGCTGTTTGTAATTTTATCGAAATCGGTTCAGATTTGGATATAGCTCCCATATATATCTTTATCCGATTTCGGGTTAATTGTGTACCAAATGGCCGATATAAGTCCAAATGGACTGAATTTTAGTACATCGGACCAAATTCAGCCTAGAAGCAAGTATATCAAATTTAGTGAAAATCGGTTCAGATATAGATATAGCAACCATATATATGTTTCATCCGATTTAGTGTTTTAGTTCCTTACATTCGTAATATTCACTCCACAATCGTGATATTTGGTACCAGGTATTAGATGGAGCACAGGAATAGCTGTTTTAAATTTTATCGAAATCGGTTCAGATTTGGATATAGCTCACATATCTTCATCCGATTTCGGGTGATTGACCACCAAATGGCCGTAATAGCATCAATTTTGGCAAATCCGACCGAAACCAGCTTAGAAGCAAGTACACCAATGTTTGTAAAAATCGGTTCAGATATAGCTATAGCTCCCATATATATCTGTCATCCGATTTGGTCTTTAAGTCCCTCACATTCGTAATATGCACTCCACAGGAATGATATTTGGTACCAGATATCAGATAAAGCTCAAAAATGGTTGATTTTAATTTTATTAAAATCTGTTCCGATTTGGATAGGCCTCCCATATATATTTCGATTTCGTGTTAATTGTGCATCAAATGGCCAATATCAGCCCAAATGGCATGAATTTTGGCAAATCCGACCGAAACCAGCCTAGCAAGTAAGTACACAAATTTTAGTAAAAATCGGTTCAGATATAGCTCTAGCTCCCATATATATGTTTCATCCGATTTGCTCTTTAAGTCCCTTACATTCGTAATATACTCTTCACAGGAATGATATTTGGTACCAGATATCAGATAAAGCCCAAAAATAGTCGATTTTAATTTTATCAAAATCTGTTCAGATTTGGATATAGCATAGCATAGCATACTCTTCACATTATTCTATCGATTTCCGTTTAATTGTACACTAAATGGTCAATATCAGCCCAAATCACCTGAATTTTCGTACATAAGACCGAATTCAGTCTAGAAGCTAATACGTCAAATTTGAAGAAACCCGGTTCAGAGATAGCTATAGTTCGTAAAATGCACGATAGAATTAGATAGATTTTGATTTTGTACCAAATATCTCATAGAGCTCTGAAATGCCCTGTATAAACCTTTTTACGAGAGCTCTACTAAATATGCATAGTGGTGTAGGGTATCATATAGTCGGCCCCGCCCGACTTTTGAGTTTTCCATACTGGTTTTTAATTATTTTTATGAAATATTGTTATTTCTTCTAGGGTGTTTAAAATGATTAAGAGGGGTATAGAGACGTCCTCTCACAATTTATATGCTCCACTCATTCCCATAGATGAGACAGCATAATTTCGTCATATTCTCACGTAAACTCCTTTTATTTATGGAAGATGCACACACACACATATGTCCATTAAATGTGACGGGGAATAACGTATCAACCTTGAATTCATTTATTTTTTGTCTTCTTTTGTATTTTAATATGAATTGTAAATTCTTTGCATTATTGAATTTTATTACACACTTTGTTACAAACACACACATACTAAGAAACACGACAAATGATTATTAGTTGCGACCGCCCTTTTTGACATCAATTGTTAGACTAATTTTGACAAATGGCAAATGCACTGATTGATTGCAATTATGATTGAGATAATGAGTGGTCGTTTGTGGGAGAGACGAAAGATACTCTCTTTGGTGTTAAAAGGGTTTATTGATGACAAGTTGAGATCATTAAAGGAAAGATATAAATTAAACTAGTTTTTAATGAATTATTATATTTATTTTTCTTGAAAAAAAAAAAAAATAAAAAATCCAACGTTTTTATAAAATTAATTAAAAACACACCACTATTAATTGTTTTTAACTCAAAATCTTGAAATTTTTTAATGATGTTGAATTCTACATTCGTGAAAAAGTAGAAAGCACTCACCTTGCCCCATTAACAACGGGAAAACTTAAATTATTCATGGTAAATAAAAGAAAAGTCTTCCTGATTTCACTTAGTCCATTGGCCCGCTGACCAGTGAACCGTTAACGGCAAGTATTAGAAAAGCAAATCTAAAACCAAACATTGAAGATAGAGCCGAAGTGTTTTGGCGCTGTGCAAAAAAATTTATGGGAACGGAAATGCATAATTTACAATCGAATGTTATTGCCATTATAAATGGTTGTACTTGTTGTTGTAGTTGTTATTGTTAAGCTCAATTAAATGAACAAAACAAACGAATAATTTATTTTCTGTATTAATTGTGTACATTTATTTCTTTTTTTTTTTTCATTGCAGAATAAAATCAGCAAATGCTAATGGTATGTATTATTTCTCATTTTTTTTTTTATTTATTTTTTTTTTTTTTTGTTTTGCTTATTTAATTTAGAGTTAAATTCAAATCTAAGATTGTAACAAAAGACATGTGTTTGTTGGCATTGTTCGGCTGTTTGTGCACTTGGCCTGTCTCGCTTTGGGGAACGTTTTCTTTATTTGTTTTGTAGCAAATGGACATTATCTTCAAAAACATTTCAAGTCATTATTATTACGATTTTGTGCATATGTATTTATTGAGTCTGGGCAATTTGGACAATAATTGAAATTCGTCCAGAGGCGTAGAAGAATTTATATAATATTGATATTATTTTTTATTATTTTTAAAATATTAAAAAAAAATAAAAATATTAAAAACAAGTTAAAGAGTATCAGTCGTTTTTCCCGACAGATGTATAACCTCAGCCAATGTTCGATTATTTAAATATATTTTGATTTATGTTATGAATTTTGAACTGTTGACCCTCTAAAGGTTCCAAAGGAGTGGATCAATATTGTCCATTTCGTATCGGGCCTAAATAAATATGATATAAATATTGCGACGTTTGAACTATATCGACTACTTCCTTCACATTATATGAAAGAGTGATCCGATATATCCCATCTTCACAGCAGATCTTGTGTTAGTAGAAATAATAGGATGTGTGGAATATGAAGACATCCGGATACATATTTCGGATTTTATAATCGTTTTGGTTATTCAAAATTCAGAAGGATTGGTTCGATCTCTTCCATCTTTTTAACAGAACTTATGTTGATTAAAATATTGAGATGTACCAAGTCTGAATGGAATCCAATCTTAATTATGCCTTTTGTGAGCTGCATGGAAATTCAAAATTCTGATCCTTTGTGTCGGAGGTACCAGAAGGAGTTGACCGATATAGCCCATCTTCACAGAAGATCTTGTGTTTGTAGAAATAATGGGATGTGTAAAATATGAAGAGAACCGAATGCTTATTTCGTATTTTATGATCGCTTTGGGTATCCAATTCGTTGGCCCTTTGTGGGGAGGTACCAGAAGAAATGGTCCGATCTCTACCATCTTTATGACAGATCTTGTGTTAATGGAAATATTGAGATGTGCCATAGACTGAATGGAATAGTATGTTAATTTCGCGTTTTATTAGCTTCATAGATATTCAAAATTTTGACCCTTTGCACCAGAAGGAGTTGACCGATATAGCCCATCTTCACAGCAGATCTTGTGTTAGTAGAGAGAATGAGATGTGTGGAATATGAAGATAACCGGATGGTTATTTCGGATTTAATGATCGTTTTGGTTATTTAAAAGTTTGACCCTTTGTTGGGGAGGTACCAGACGAAATGGTTCGATCGCTACCATCTTTATAACAGATCTTAAGTTAATAAAAATCTTGAGATGTGCCAAGTTTCAATGGAATCGGATGGTTATTTCGCGTGTTTTGAGCTTCATGGGTATTCAAAAATGTTGATACTTTGTGGGGGAGGTACCAGAAGGAGAAGGCCTATATATTCCATCTTCACGCCAGACCTTGGGTTACTAAAAATATTGTGATATGTGCAATTTGAAGACAATCGAACTCTTACATCACATTTTATAAGAGTTATGATTATTCAAAATTTTGAACCTTTGTGGGGGAGGTACCAAAGGGAATCGACCAATATATCCCATCTTCCCAGCAGATCTTGTGTTAGTAGAAGTAATGAGATATCTGAAATATGAAGAGAACCGGATGCTTATTTTGGATTTTAAAATCTTTTTGGGTATTCAAAACTTTGACCATTTGTGGGGGAGGTACCAGAAGGAATGGTCCGACCTCTAACATTTTTATAACGGATCTTGTATGGATGGAAATATTGGGATGTACCAAGTCTGAATAGAATTGGATGTTAATTTCGGGATTTGTGAGTTTCGTGGGTATTGAATATTTTGACCCTTTGTGGGGAAGGTACCGGAAGGAGTGGACCTATATATGTCAACTTCACACCAGATCATGAGTTCATAAAAATAGTAGAATGTGTGTAATTTGAAGGCAATCGGACTCTTACTCAAATTTTATAAGAGTTGTTATTATTCAAAACTTTGAGCCTTAGTGGTGGAGGTACCTAAAGGAGAGGACCGACATTGTCCATTTTCGCACTTGACCTAGCACTGATGCAAATATTAGGATTTGCACAGTTGGAGCAAAATCGGATTACTCTTTCTCTTTCCATGCGGTTAAATTTATTTTTTTTTTTAAATTTTTGACCTTTTGTGGGGGAGGTACCAGAAAGAGTGGACCGATATTACCCATCTCAGAACTCCATCTAAATTTGATAATAATATTACGATGTACCAAGTTTGGGCAAAATCGAATACTCCCTTCGAGAGTTATCGTCCGCACCAACCAGAGTGGCTGACAGAGGGAGACCATTGCTAGGTCGACTCCAAATGTCCTGAAACGAATTTGGTAAAAAGAGACCTAGGATTTAAAATCTTTATTTCTATGAGGCACGTTTTGGTCGTATCAAATACCTAACCTCTATGGTTTTATGGCTGAGAGTATAAAACACAGTAAAGAAAGGACAAGGGTGGGGTGAGGCCGCTCACGATTAAAAAAAAAAAAACAAACAAAAAATTGAATACAAATCTAAAAAATTCACAGCTTTTTTAAATACCGGTTTTAAAAATTCCTTTTTTTTTTAAGAAAAAAATTTTATTCAAAAACAAATGTTTTTCTTTCAAAAAAAATCCTTAAATTTTTTTTTTTTTTTTCAAAAAAAAGGATTTTTTTAATCGGGTGGTCGGGTTAGGCCGCTCACGATTTAAAAAAAAAAAACAAAAAATTTAAATTTAATCTACAAACGTTAAAGCTTTTATAAATACGAGTTTAAAAAATCCCTTTTTTAAGAAAAAAAATTATTTAAAAAAAATTGTTTTTCTTTAAAAAAAACTCCTTCAAAAAAAAATTTTTTTTCCAAAAAAAGGAATTTTTTTAAAATTTTTTCTTCTTACAAAAAAAATGAATTTTTTAAACAGGTGGTCGGGTCGGTCACGATATTTGAAAAACAAAAAATTAAAATTAAATCTACAAACATCAAAGCTGGTTTAAATAGCAGTTTTAAAAATTCATTTTTAAAAAAAAAAAATTCTTTCAAAAATTTTTTTTTCAAAAAAAATTAAAAAAAATGTATTTTTCTTTCAAAAAAATTTTTTTTCTTTCAAAAAAAAAATCAAAAGAAAAAATTTTTTCTTTCAAAAAAAATGTTTTTTCCTTCAAAAAAAATTATTTTTCTTTCAAAAAAATTTTTTTTTCTTTTAAAAAGGAATTTTTAAAATTAATTTTTTTAATGTTTTGTTTTTCAAAAATTGTGGACAGCATCGCCCAATGGCCTTCTTCCTTTACCACATTTAAAAAAAAAAAAAATTATTATATTTTTTTAATTTTTTTTTAATCTCCAAAATCCTACGCCCATATTCCAAGAATTCTCCCTGCATTCTAGGTTAATAGAATCCACCTAATAAAATCTTACACTATCATAATTTGTTGTCACCTTAGCAGTGGGACATGGTCAAGCCTGGAGAGACACTTCGTTGTTGGACAGGCTTAATACCTTTGCAGACAACAACTAAAGCAAGCCAAAAACATTGCAATTCTCACATAAGTTTCGTGTTTTGGTACTTACCCCAAGACAGGTCTATTTGTGTGTGTGTATTTTGTGGCTAAAATACCACACTTAGCAGCAAATAGCCGGTCATTAATGCCATAATGCGTAAGTTCAGATCATTTGTTTGTTTGCTTAGTTTTTTTTTCGTACAGCTCCTTCTCAAAGTGTCATTTAAAAATTCTGAAGGTTTTTATGGTTAGTCAAAATAGTTACGAAAAACCTGCATTTATCAGCAGTTTTTTTTTTGGTATTTTTAAAACTCCAACCACATGGAGATTGTAAAGCGTCAAAATAATGGTTAGACAAATATCTACGCTTTAACATACAAAATATTTTGGCAACAACTGTTTAGATATCCGAGCAGTTGAACTAAGACTCAGTGGTGGCAGCAACCGGTAGCCATGCCATGGTTGCACCTCTGACAAAGTGTACAACCAAACATTTTTTGCACTTTGTGTGGTGACATATGCAAAAGATATTAGATGTCGGATATCGCGCTGGAATTGCAAAACTTGTTTCCACATTTGAGCTTTTTTTTTTTTTGGTTGTTTTATGGCGGATAATGAGAATATGACCGAAAAAAATCGAACAGTTTTGAAAACTATTTAAATTGTTACAGTAATTTTTTTTTTGGCCTGCAATATTTTGAAAGTACCTTACTTTTTGGGTAATTTATGTTCCGGCTAAAGTCATTCGAACGGTGCGTGTTGTCATAATCTCGACAATACATGTCATTTTCATTAGAAGTTGAGCTGAGTTGAATTGAAAAAAAGGAAAGGAAAAGAATTGTTAGAGCACACAGATGTGTGTTCTGAATTCGATTCTGGGTTTTGAAGGTGTCACCTACGCTTTTATTTGAAATTTTGCCGCTGGCGGTATTTTTTATTGAAAGACAAATGTTCGTATCATTTTTATTGGCAATACTTTTTCATGGGAAAATATTCAAAGATATTTTTTTGTTTTCAGAAATTCACGATTAGTACTGCAAAACAATTTCAGTCTTTCAGGGTTTTTTTTTTGTTTTATTCAAGTTTTTCATTTTTCCGGAAAGAATATTAGAAAAAAATGTCCCTTATACACCAACAAGTCTTCAAGGCTTTGATTTTGTAGTTTACCGTGGACGATATTAGCAAAACCATTGCACATGGACCGATATCCTCTTTTTCTGTCTAAAACTATTTCAATGTCTGCATATTTAAACCATAGAAATCAACAGTGACCTCAATATCAAAATTCAGAATTTCAGTTTAGTTCCTTCACCCAGTACCAAATTTAGTAGTATTTACATCTTTTTCGTGCAGTTTATATCAAATATTTCGTGCAGCAATATCAAATTTCGGAATTTCACTTCTGTCCAACT